TGTGCCTGAGCTGGGGCTGGGGAGGAAGCTCTGGTGGGCAGGTCTGAGGGGGCAAGAGGGAGGCAGAGATGGGAAAAGTACCACGGAGACCATGAAGCCTGCAAAAATAGGGAAGGATGAAAAGCAGTGATTCTTATCAACCAGATATGGAAAAGGAGAGAGAGAGAAAGAGACAGAGAGAGAGGCAGAGACAGAGAGACAGAGACAGAGAAAGAGACAGAGAGACAAAGAAAGAGAAGTAGAGACAGAGGCAGACAAAGACAGAGACAAAGACACACACACACACACACACACACACACACAAGTGGGCACGTGCACTTGCACACGTACACAGAGGCACTAGCCAAGTGGATGTGGAGAGACAGAACATAGACCTCATCCCAAGAAGTGTTTTTAAGATTCAGAGTGTCAAGAGATGTTATTTTTGTATTTGTGACATTTTGGGTTGCAGCTACTTACAATTTAAAAGGACAAAAAAGAAAATCCTCAATCAACCCAACTCAGTCCTTATGACGGGGGAAAGACACAACATTGAGCTGCTAACCGCTAGGTTTGGAGGGTCACAGAGACCATCCTTAGAGTATTAGAAAGGCCACACTCACAGTTCAGGGTCCTTAGTCCTCTGCGTTGATGTCATTCTGGAGGACAGATGGTGAGGGAGGGCCAGGAGTATGTAGCTGAAACCCGGATGGGGTAAAGACAGCATCACCAGAAGGCAAGTCCTGGGACAGGAAGGCAGCAGCACTCTTCCCTAGGGCTAGGTCACCTGCCAGGGCTGGACTCCCTGTGGCTGGCAGGGGTCTGTGGAGCCTGAGCCCTGAGGTCTGGCTCATCTCTTCGCTCAAGATTTTGATTGATCTCAGGTTTAATTTTGCCTTCTAGGCATTTCTGACAAAGCTCCGAGCAGGAAAACAATATTATTTTTCTTTTTCTCCTCATGAAAAAGAGGGTAGGACCTTGCAATCATTCTCCTTTGTGACAGAGGATAAATTGAGATGTCTGTGGGCAGGAAGGAATAAAAGATGATTGTAGCTAGGAGGAGCTTGGTAGGGCCTGAAGATTGACTGCCCATCATTGCTGCCTCAGAGAAGTAACACCCCTGTACTGGTTAGTTTTTGTTACTTTGACATAAAGCAGAATTAGTTGGGAAGTAGGAACCTCACTTGAAGAATTGCCTCCACTGGATTGGCCTGTGTGCATGCCTGTGGGGCATTTTCGTGATTAATGTTTGATGTGGGAGGGCCCAGCCCACTGTGGGCGGTGCCATCCCTAAGCAGGTAGTCTTAGGTTCTATAAGAAAGTAGGCTGAGCAAGCAATGGGGACCAAGCCAGTAGGCAGCGTCCTTCTTCCAGGTTCCTGCCTTGATTTCCCTCAGTGATGGGAAATTACCACCCCCATAGGTTGGTTTTGGTCAGTGTTTTATCACAGCAGCAGAAAGTAAGGAGAACAGAAAGAAACTATTAACAGAGTGAGTGGGGTGTTGCTGTGATGGACCTGGCCATGTTGCTTTTAGATTTTGGACTATGTAGCGAGAAGGAAGTGGATGATCTTGTAGCTTTGGGCTAGGGAACCCACTGAGTGCTCAGAGCTCAATGAGTTGCCGTGGGAACTTGTAAGTTAATACTGAGAGCAGTGAAAATGATGTCGGCCTGGCTTGTGAAGTTTCAGAGGGAAGTCTGAGTGTTGGGGCTATTCATGTGATATTTTGAACGAAGAATCTGTGATTTGGGCTGGAGAGATGGCTCAGTGGTTCAGAGTGCTGGCTGTATTTCCAGAGATCCCCAGTTCAATTCCCAGCAACCATATGGTAGCTCACAACCATGTATAATGGGATCTGGTGCCCTCTTCTGTCACACAGGCATACATGCAAATAGAGCACTCACATACATAAATAATCTGTGATTTTTGGCCAGCTTGGACTGATAACATGATCAGCTGTGATTAAAGAGAGACCAGCACCATTGAAATGAAGTCTTTTGGGAATTATTCACTCAGGTCATCATACAGAAGCTGTGGTCTAGAGAAGAGGCTTAGGCTACCTCTCAACTTGGTGGCCAAGCTTGGTAATGTGTAAGAGTCGCAGACATGGTACTGGTTTCGAAGGTATGAAGGAGTTATGTATATAGCAGCCGAGGCTTGGCACCATGTGGCAGGGATGGTGCTCCCATAGAGAGGCCAGGAGGCCGCTGGTGAAGCTACAGCCCCAGCTGCAGTGGAGACCCCAGCATATTAGAGATGCAAGCTGGTGGGGTGACCACTAAAGACAGTGGTGGGTGTCAGGTGGAGCCAGTCAGAGCCTAGGTGACAAACTGTGTGTGTTGCTGATAGCAGAGCCAGAGTGATGGGGGCTACCCAAACCCTTTGGAGCCTAGAAGATCATAAGTGAGTCTAAGGTCTCAGACACCGAGCTATTTACACTACTGAGATGGGAAATTTAACACTGTAGTGTATTAGTCAGGGTTCTCTCTAGAGTCACAGAACTTATGGAATGAATCTGTATCTATATATCTACATCTATCTATCTATCTATCTATCTATCTATCTATCTATTTATCTATCTATAGTTTATTGGAATGATGTACAGGCTGCAGTCCAATAGTGGCTAGTTGTGAAGATAAAGTCCAATAATCTAGTCGCTGCATAGCCCCACGAGGCATGGTATCTCAGCTGGTCTTCTGAAGAAGTAGGCTCCAATGCCAGAGAAGGAATGGCCATATTGACAAGGCCAGGGCAAGCAGATGAGGAGGAATGAACCATTCCTTCTTCCACTGTCCTTGTATAGGCTTCCAGCAGAAGGTGTGGCCCGGATGAAAGGTGTGCTCTCCAGCCTCCAGGTCTTGACCAAAGGCATGTTGTCTTCTTGCCTCAAGATCTGGATCACAAGTGTGCCCTTCATTTCTGGATTATAGTTCAGTCCAGATATAGTCAAGTTGACAACCAAGAATAGCCATCACAAGTAGTCAGAATAGAATAGATGAAATGATTTCTGTTCTCCAAGTTCCTTACACTGTCAGCAAATTAGAAACTGGATAGGATTGCCCATTACCCACCTATCCTGAAAGAGATGCTACCTGAGGGAGCAAAGCTCCCAGGGCCAGGGCTGACTAGCTTTACACTAGGCTTCCAGTGTAGCAGCTGAAAGCAGAGAGGCAGCATGCCTGCCTGTCTGCTTCTCACAATCTCTTCTCTCTACCTCCTGGCTTCTTTTGCACGAGAGTCTGCTCTTCGGGCTCAGAAACACCCATCTTCTATTATCCATCATCCTACAGGATGAATCCACAGTCAGGAGCAGAGCAATGGGGGATTTGGTGCTTTCCTATGATTCAAAGGTGACAACTCAGTGCTACCCACAGGGCTGTCCTATGCATTCTGTTTCAGTGGGTCACGTGATTGTCCACATTTTACAGAGGAGAAAAAGAGGCTCTGAGGGATTCAGCGTCTTCCTCAAGGTCACACTGTAAGTAGCAATCAGATGACAACCTCCAAGCTCAAGCTTTCCATCTGCCCTTAAACTGCTGGGACGTAGCTTGCTGCTTCCAGCAGGCTGTGATGGGCTTGTCCCATGGAGTATGCAGAACCCTGTGTTGGTTGGCGTCTGGACCCAGGTTCCTGAATCTGTAGCTGTGCTTCTCGCTCTTTGTTCAAACAGGATCTCAGCTTGTTATAGATGCAGACCCTGGCAACCCCAATGGCTGCATCAGAATCTGCACTTTAATTATTTTTTGCTCATGTATCTCTGAGGGTGCATGTGTGTGCACACATTCAAAGGTCACAGGACACACTTAGGTGTCATTCCTCAGGTTCCATTCACCATGTAGTTTTGAGACAGGGTCTCTTCCTGACTGAGACCTTGCCAAGTAGGCTAGGCTGGCTGCTCAGGGAGCCCCAGGGATCTATCTGCCTGTCGTCCTCTTCACATAGGATAGGCTAAGCGTGCACCACTATGCCTGGCCTTTAAAATGATGGTTCTGGGACCCAAACGCAGCTCCTTATGCTTCAAGGCAAACACTTTACCAGCTCAGAATGTGCATTTTGACTCCTTCCTTCTTTCTTTCTTCCTCCCTCCCTCCCTCCTTCCTTCCTTCTTTCCATCCTTCCTTCTTTCCTTCTTCTGTGTTGGGGAATCAAATCTTGGGCCTCATGCAGGCTAGGCAAGACTTCTACCACTGAGCTGTAGACTGTGCATTTTAACAAGATCTTTTTGTGGTCGGAATGCATCTAAAAATCCAAGAGCTTCTATAGAGGAGTCCTTCCGAAAGGAAAGGCTTGAGGATGCTAGCTGTGAGGTGTCGGGGACAGATGACACAGCAAAATGCTCCATGCTAGTATGTCCTCAGGGTCAGAAATGGAATTTTCTCTGCAAGGATGGACAGAGCCAAACCTATCCCTGGTATTTATTCCCAGGGCAACGAATACTTAAAGTAGCTCACAGAAATGCTTTTAGCAACTCCTGGAGTCAGTGGATGTGACAGTGTGTGAACGCTAGATGGCAGTGGATGGACATCAGAAGAAAGTTTGCTAGGCAGTGGGTGCTGCTGCTGTCTAGGGTGTGGAGCAGGTGGGTGGGAGGCAGCTGAGCACAGTTGGGTCATGAAGAGATGGTTGGGATGATATGAAAGCAACTGAGATATCACCAGCAAGTCCAGCAAGTCTTGGAAGGATGTTTATGTGGAATGAGAGATTAGGCATTTGTAATTTTGGCTTCTTCTTTTCCTTCCTTCCTTCCTTCCTTCCTTCCTTCCTTCCTTCCTTCCTTCCTTCCTTCCTCTTCCCTTCCCTTCCCTTCCCTTCCCTTCCCTTCCCTTCCCTTCCCTTCCCTTCCTCCTCCCTCCCTCCCTCCCTCCCTCCCTCCCTTCTTTCCTTCCTTCCTTCCTTCCTTCCTTCCTTCCTTCCTTCCTTCCTCCCTCCCTCCCTTCCTCCCTTCCTTCCTTCCTCTTCCCTTCTCTTCCTCCCTCCCTCCCTCCCTCCCTCCCTCCCTCCCTCCCTCCCTCCCTTCCTTCCTTCCTTCCTTCCTTCCTTCCTTCCTTCCTTCCTTCTTTTTGCTGGAGAGGTGTCAACAGCTGGGAACGGTGAAGCTGCAGAGAATTAAGTGTGGGTAAGAATTCTCGATCCACTTGGTTCTGCTCCCGGAGGCTGGAGGAGGCAGCGGATAGTCTGCAGTGCTGGTTAATCAGAGCCAGGCTGCACGAGTGAGAAAATCTTTTCCCACCATGCACCAGGCCCTTGGGCTGTGCCTGCACACCTCTCAGATGTTGATAACTGGGGCCTTTTGCCCCTGAGAGACTAGCGGGAGAGTTTTCAGCATGTAGTTGCCTCCCATGTCCACCCGTTAGCCTCACCAGACTGTGAAAAGAATACACAGGTTTTCTTTGGTTCCTAAGAGTCTCCATTCTTCATTCTCCGTGGGCACCCAGTGACAGCCATGTTAGAGGGGCTGGAGTCCGCCTATGGACTGGAGGGACTTGACTTCTAACAAAAGGCAAAGGAAAGATTCATCAACCCCAGAATTGTGGTGTCATCTTATAATACCTGGTCTCTCTACTTCAAAAAATTTATTTTTATTTTATGTGTGTGGACGGATTGCCTGCCTGTGTGTGTAGTGCCCACATGCAGTACCCATGGAGGCCAGAAGAGGGCCCTTGGAACTGGAGTTACAGATGAATGGGAGCTGCCATGTGGATGCTGGGAATCAAACTCAGGTACTCTTAATTGCTACACCATCTTTCCAGCCCACCAAACCTGGCCTCTTTATCTAACAGTGCTTGGTCCAATCAGCTCTATTTGGCCAGTGGAGATAAGAGTTTGAGAATTTATTTGGGAACCCATTTTAAAAACAGCTATTTCCTGCCTATTTTGATGGCAGTACTGTCTGAAATAACCTGAGGTTGTGGCAGATGGGTAGGGACACTGTTTTTAGAGACTTCAGCATTTAAGTTTTGATCTGATTTTTTTTTCTCCCAAGTGACTATCTGTCTTTAATTTAGCTTGGCTATATTGCTGATGCTGCAGAAGTCTGAAGGCCTATAAGCAGGAGGGTTGTGGGTTGGAGGATGGGGTGTGAGCATGTCTTAGCTAGCTCTTACTGAAGGCCCAGAGAGATCCAGTGTGGTCATTTAGCAAAGCCGAGGTGAGCAGGCTCCCACCAGGTGCTGTGCAGAGACTTGAGGCTACAAGGAATGTGAAGTGCAAGGATCAGTGTGTTGCTCCTCCCCCTTCCTCCCCCTCCACCCCTCCCTCCCCCTCCCTTTCTCTCCCCCATCCTTTCTTCTTTCTCTCCCCTCTCTCTTAAACCCTCTTCCCCTTTCCTTCCTTTCTTTCCCTTCTACCTTTTTAATTTTCAAAATTATTTGGTTTTATTGAGAAAGGTTTCCTGTAGCCCGGACTGGCCTCAACATGCTGTGTAGCTGAAGGTAACCTTGACTTTCTGATTCTCTCGTCTCTGCCTCCTCTGTGCTGGGGTTACAGGTGTGGGTGGCCTTGACATCCTGTTGATATAGTCCAGGGATGGAACTCCGATGCATGCTAGGTGGGCACTCTTCCAGCTGGGCTACAACCTCAGCCTCTCCTGAGCCTTTAAAAAGTTCTGATGCTGTTTTAAGTCCCTATGGGGATCTTGCACGCACCAGGTGAAGATGAATAAGCAGGAATGTGGGGACTCCAAGGACACATTTGATCACTTTTGTCCTTCCCCAAAGGTCTCAACACAAGACAAGTACTTTTAGACTTCAAGAAGAAAGTTTGTATTTTATTATAGTAACTTGCCTTGCATTCTGAGAGAGAAAACCAAACTAGTTAAAGTTTTTTAAAGTTCTTCCCCGACCGACACCCCCCCCCCCCACTTCCGCCTGAGGAAATATACCTCTGTCACAGAAAAGCTCAAAAACACTTTCAGGAAGGTGCTGTCCAAATACAACCCAGTCATAATTTATAGTGGGCTGCCCCAATTCGCCACGTTCTGGGTTTTTGCTCTTCTGTCAGGGTTTTGTAGCTAGAAAGAAATGGTGAATTATGTAAGTAAAGATGTTACCATGTTTTCTGGAACAGTGCAGGAAAACACAGGCACACACTGATAGGCAATGGTATGAAAATCCCATGCAAATTAGCCCCCCATTCCTCCTCACGGGGCCAAGGCGGGCAAAGGCTGCAGTCACTCCTTCCATCTCTGCTGACCTACTGGAAGAGTTAGAGGCCTGATACCAGGCACCTGAAGTTTGCATATAATTGGGCTTCCGGGCCTCTAAAATCTTACATTTTCTTCACAAACACAGGCATCTGCTGCTAATTAAAGTATCAGGGTATAATTATACCCTTTCTTATTAGTAGATATAGAATCTGACAGTTGCTTAGCTACAAAATAAGCAAGTACAGATTGCGTTCTGCGCCCTTCACAGGCCGGGGAGACAGAACAACACAATTTTCAGAGGCTGCATGTAAACGAGTCTTGTTGCCCAAAAGATGCAAAGTTCTGGGTTATGATCGGTAGATTTGCCTTCAAACAGATGTTCGTCCCCATCTCAGCTCTGTGATTCGAGTGTTAGTAGCTTGTATTTGTTTCCATTGCTCTGCAACCTCACCCCTGCACTGCATCCTGAACACCGGAACAGAAAATGGTTCTTTCTAACCCACACACAGTTCAAGCTGTGGCCTCACCAATGGCAGGCTAGGAGGAGAGGGCTTTCTCAGGGCATTCTGGAGTCAGGTGGGAATTATGTGGTACAGTAGGGCCTTGTTGGGCCTGGCTTGGCTTTGGAGTGTGTCAAAGACCCGCTGTGGACTCAGTGTTCTTGATTCCGTGTCTTTTTGACACAGTTTCTTTTCCTGCTCAGAATGGTCCTCCTACAGCTCCATCAGAGTCCTCTCTGCCAACCATCAGTTCTAGAAGTACAAGGGACCAGGTCTTTTCTGGATGTTTGGCCTATTTCCAGCATACAGCATGGTACAGAGCTGTAGGAAGCTGCTTAAAGCTAGCAACTGGGGAAAAATAATGATTTTAATATATGTATTTTATTATTTTGTTTGAGAATTTCATACATGAGTTTAGATCCACTTTCCCCTCATCCCTCCTCCAACTCCTCTTGTGTCCCCCACCCCAACTCTCTTGCAAATTCATCTTTTCAAATTATTAGTGTTACCAATCTGGGGAATGTTGGTATTTCAACCTCAATATTGGCTATTCATTTCTCAGAATATTATACACTAGGTGAAGACTTGGTCCTTTTATTATTATGATTACTTTAATTATATTGTGTATATAAATACACCCTGCTAAGTTTATTTAATGTTGTTCATATGGGTATGTGTTTAGGGCTGACCACTTGGACTGGAGAACCTAACAAGGGGCTTTTCCCTGGAAAAGACTGATTCTCCTCTTAGCAGCCATTAATTGCCCAAGGCTCTTTATCTAGGGGTGGGGCTGTGCTGGCTTGTTTTCTGTCAACTTGATACAAGCTAGGGTCACTTGGGAAGAAAGAATCTCAATTGAGAAAATGTCTCCATCGGATTGTCTGGTAGGCAAGTCTGTGTGGCATTTGCTTTATTAATGATTGACATGGAGGGTCAAGCCCACTGTGGGTGGCGCCAACCCTGGGCAGGTGGTTCTAGGGTTCATAAGAAAGCAGGCTGAGCAAGCCAGGGGGAGCAAGCCAGTAAGTAGCATTCCTCCAAGGCTTCTACTTCAGGTTCCCGCCTTGAGTTCTTGCTCTGCTTTTCCTTCATGAAGGACGGTAAGTCGTAAGATAAGACAAACCCCTTTCTTCCCAAGTTGCATTTGGTCACAGGCTTTATCACGTCCACAGTGGCACACCAGCTTGTATTGTCATTGTGCAGGTCTTGTTTAGGTGATGATGTTGTTAAGATTTCGTGGGTGCTTCTCCGCCGTGTCCACAAAAGACATCGTGCTCTTACGATCTTTCTTCCCCTCTTCATAATGTTCCCTGAGCCTCAGGTGTGGAGGCTGTTTGCAGATGTGTCAGTTGGAGATGATGGTCAGTTGTTCTTTGCATTTTGGCCAGTTTTGGAATGAAATGGGTCCTTGATGCTCTAACATGCAGCTTGCCTTGGTGGAAGTTGGTATTGCAGTCCCAATACTGGATATTCATGTCTCAGAATATTATGCATTGGCTAGATGAAGACTTGGCAAACTGTAGCTGCTGGGATAAATCCTGCCTGCCAACCTGGTTTTATGTGGCACAGGAACTAAGAATGGGCTTTACAGTTTTGAATGGTTGGGAAAAAAAATCGAAAGAATAATATTTTATAACATGTAAAAGCTATATGAAACTCACATTTGGTATTCATAAATAAAGTTTTATTGAAACAGCTATTCTTATTAATTTACATATTGCCCATGGGCTGCAGTAGAATTGGGGGTTAGCATAGGAGACCTCTTAGCTTGTGAAGTCTATAATATTTATGATCTGCCTCTGGATCAGGAAGATCATTGTCCAGGGTTAGCCTTTAAGCCTGGGGGTTGTGGATGGAGGAAGAGGTAAGATTTTGGGGAGAATGAGGGACAGGTTGGCCAGAGGAAGAGACTGGCAGGAAGTCTGCAGAGCTTCTTCATTCCTGATGGATGTGCCAGCCCCAGAAGCCCACTTTCATAAAACTCTGATTGGTGCCAGCAAAGAATGAAGTCGTGATCCTTTCTCAGTTCCTGGGCTACTCCGACTCAAAGAATGGTGTCTGTTGTTTCTTACTCGCTGTAAATCCTTGGTCTAAAACAGTCTTTCTTTGTTGGACATGAAGTTTGCTTCCCAGACAGTGTTTGGGTAGTAAATCTGTATGTGTGAGTGAGCACGAGTTGCAGTTTGTTTTGGAAAGCACCTATCTTCCATCTTTAGCTGTCCAGTCACACGCAGCAGCTGCCCAGCATCTTAGCCTCCCAGGCCGGGTTGGGCCCCACCCTCTGGAAGCCGTCAGCTTCCTGTCTCTAATTCCTCACCAGGATGGAGCCCTTTCCTTCCAGTGAAGTGCCTTTGTGATTAAGCCTGAAAGGACGCAATCAGCCCAGTTAAAGCCTTGATAATCCACTTGATCCACCCCCGTTATCGGTCCAAATCCCAGAAGGCCTCTTCTAGACTGGAGCTTCATTTCTTTGGGGTTTGCAGGAGCATCCCCTGAGCCTATAACATCACCTCATTCTTCTATTATCCATCTAAATTCTGAATTAGAGTCTAATTTCCTCTAAACTGTACTCTTTGGACTGGCTGAAGCCTCTGGCTTCCTGGAGGACACACACACACACACACACACACACACACACACACACACACACACACACACTGCCTAGTATTCTCTGATGGTGTATTCAAGGAGCTAGGCTTTGCTTTGTGAGTGACAGTGAGTGACTAGCACTGTTTACCCTCTGTAGAACTGAGCTTTGAGAATTATAAGCAATACAAAGGTTCTCATGGCCTTTCAAGGGTCAGCTAAGTGGGGCTCCCTGTGGGATTGTTAGTCAGTTACCTGGCCTGAAGGGTTTATTTATTTATTTATTTTTAAGATCTCATGTCTGTGGGTGTTTTGTCTGTGTGTATGTCTGTGCACCACTTGCATGCAGTACCTGAGAAGGCCAGAAGAGAACATCAGATCCCTTGGGACTGGTGTTGCAGACTGTTATGACCTGCCAAATAGGTGCTGGGGATTGAACATGGATTCTCTGCAGAGCAGTAGCCAGTGCTCTTAACTGACGAGTCATCTCCAGCTCGTGAAGAGTTTATTTTTAAAGAACTGTGGGAAATGGTTTATGGAAGGAGAACACAAGTTTTTCTTCTAAAACAATACTTAGCATTTGTGGCATCTCTTTCACGCTAGAATGCTTCTCAAGCTGTTCTGCGTGTTTTCTCTTATCTTTACCGGACATACTGTATGTGCATTTACAGAGGAGAAAATCATGACCTAGATAGGAGGAATGGTTGCCACGGAGTGTGCAGATAGGAAAGGATGCGAATAGCAGTGAAATCCATATAGGTGTGGCTGCAGAGTCTGTGTGGATGTCCTTGTATTGCACCTACCCTTTGGGATGATGCCAGCCACTTCAAACTCTAAGGACACACAGAATTATGTTTTGTTTTTAAACTTTCTTTTTATTTATTCTTTGTGTCTTTCACATGATGCAACTTGACCCCATTCATTTCCTGTCTCTTTGTATCCACCCTCTGCCCTTGCAAAGCTCCCCCCACCTCCAGTAAAACAAAATAAAATTTAAAGAAAAAAAGAAAAAAAAATGAGGAAAAAAGGAAAAATCTCATCATGGAAGCTGTAGTATGACACACTGAGTTATGCAGTAAACCTTTTTGTCCATATAGCTTTACATATAAGTGTTCATTGTAAAGAGTCATTGGTCTGGTTTGAGGCCAATGGTTTCTACTACATTACTGATGCTGGGCCCTCACTGGGAATCCTCTTGGAT